TTTAATGTCTATCGGTGTGTAAGTAGTAAAAAAAAAGTTTTTGCATTTAAAAATTGTTATAAACAATTTTTATAAACAATTACACTTTATAGGAAGTTATGTTTTAAAATAAATTTTTTTAAAAAGATATTTGCTTTAGATTATTGTAATTAAACTTTCTTTTTGTTAATCTGATATTTTGAAATAATTTTTCTTAACTGTTTATACAATTTTTATAAACAATTGTACTGTAAGGACATTTTTGGGGACACAAAAAAAAATATGGTAAATTTGACTACTTTTTTACTATTTCCTGTAGTTCCTATAGGCGCCCGTAACATTATTTAGTAAAATGAACTATGACAGAATAGTTAGTCTAACTGTAAAATGTAGTAATAAATACCATTTTTACAGTAAATTTAACTACTAAAACAGTTATCTTAACTATTTGTTGTTAGTCATACTAACTGCGCTTCATTTAGTTGCAGTAACTAAATTTTCATAGTTCCTATAGGCGCCCGTAACAAATTGTAGTTGTAACAACTGTAAAAAATAGTTAAATTAACTATTTAAAGTAGTAAAATGAAATTATTTATTTGTTTTTTATTATTATTGAGGTCCATTTTTTTATATTTTCTCTTACCTATTTTTGTTCATATATAATTTATATATTAAATTCTTATACACCTAACAGAGAAAAATCCCCAAACGCCGGGGATTGAACGCACGACCCTAACATTCGCAAACCGATAACCTAACCACCTAACCACGCTCGCACGCTACGATGACTGGCATTGTACTTGAGGACATTCTTCTTAGATTCAGTCATAATAACTACTCCGTTTAGTTGCAGTAACTAATTTTTTAAGCTTAAGGACTTAGTTGAAATGTAGCCAGCATATGATTTTAAATGACTCAACGATATTGCAGTAGTTAAAAGTACTGTTGAAAATAGTTATTTTCAGAATTTCTGTAGTAAAATTATCCACTTTTTACTAGTTATAAAAAAATTAAACTTACTATTTTCATATAGTAAAAATAACATAAAAATTGTTACTTTTATGACTTTTGTAGTTATAAAAATAAATGTTTCTTACCACCATAGAGATAAATTGAAGGGCTACATAAAATAAGGGGACGAACGCGAGGCTTGGAAGGGATACTACCAGTCGGGTAGCAGTGACAAGCCTTGAGCCGCTCGCTGCTACCTGACTGATATTATCCCTTTCAACCACGCGTTCGTCCCCTTATTTTATGTAGCCCTTCAATTATTAAAAGCTAGTAAGAATTGGTTCTTTTAACTATACATTAAACACAAAAATAACAAATTCCAGCGGTTGTTCTTACTCTTTGGAACAGTAAATTTTAATTTATTTTGCAAATAGCAAGAAATGGATATTTCTACTACAGAAATTCCGAAAATAACTATTTTTAACAGTACTTTTAACTACTGCACTATTGTTGAGTTATTCACAATCATAACGTGTAGGTAGTAATTTTAACTACATAAAACCTACTATTCAATTTTAGTTCTACTAACTATGGAAGTTTAGTTAAAATGCTGCTGAATATGGTAGTTTTAACTATATTTTTTTAACTGCACATATGTGGATGCTTTTACCACTCACGTTTTTTCTCTGTAGAAAAAAATGATCTTTTCAACTGCATAAATAGTAAAAATAACTATTTTCAACAATTGATTTTACTATATGAAAACAGTAAATTTCTTTCTTTCTCTGCAACTATAGTAAGAAATAGTTGTTTTAACTACATAAATCATAAAAGTAACAACTTTCAGAGGTTGTATTTACTATATAAAAACAGTAAGTCTCATTTTGTTTGCAACTAATACAAAATAGTTATTTTTGCTACCACAATAGTAAAATTAACTATTTTTAATAATAGTTTTTACTACTACACTATAGTTGAGCCATTTACAAGCATCTGTTAGTTATTTCAACTAAGTAAAGTAGTTATTTTAACTACATAAAACCAGCAACTTCTTTTTGGTTCCACTAACTGAGGAAGTGTAGTTAAAATGCTGCTGAATATGGTAGTTTTAACTACTTTTTTTCTAACTACACAAATGTGGTTGTTTTTACCATTCGCATTTTTTTCTGTGGAGAAATGAATCGAATTTTTTACGAATAATGTTTCATCTAAGCCGAAAAGAGATTATCTTTGTAAAAAAGTCATTTTTCAATTAATGTTATCATTGTTATAAACAAATTATATAAACAATTACATTTTTCGGCACGTTATGTCTGAAAAAAAATTTTCCGACTTTCTCGCCAATAAAGAAACGTACAACAGTTCTTCCTAGACCAAAAAATAATTAAGAAATGAATTTGAATTACTTCTGTCAGTTCTGAAAAAACATCAATAGATTATTTTTATTATTTTGACTTTTCAGAGTTTCATAGATTTTCACACATTTTGCGGACATTATTGAAAATCTATCCCAGTAAAAAAAAACTAATTCAAATGAATTGAAACGAATTAACATTTTTGGTAGGCTCCAATTCGTATTTGTCACAAAGCGGGATTCACTCAAGCTCTTTGTATATTCAATTGAATTTAATTCAATATGTACCAATTTGTCCAAACGAATTCGCATTCGAAAGAAATGGCCAAGGAATGCATTGAATTCGTGCTAACGAATTGAAAAAAATTAAAGGCTCAAAACTTGTCCAGTGAATTGGTACGGATAGAAGGTTCGGAAATTCAATACAGTTTCACGAATTCAGGAAAATTGCATCATGGCTCCAATTCGTATTTGTCACAAAGCGGGATTCACGAAAGCTCTTTGTGAATTCTTTTTAATTCATTTCAATTAGTTTTCGTTTACTGGGATATTTTGAAATTAATCATTTTAACAAAAACAAAGTTTAATTGCAATAATTCAAAGCAAATTTCATTTTAAAAAAAATTTTTCAGACCTAACTTCCCGTAAAATGTAATTGTTTATATAATTTGTTTATAACAATGATAACATTAATTGAAAAATGACTTTTTTACAAAGAAAATCTCTAGGCAGCTTAGATGAAACATTTTTCGTAAAAAATTCGATTCATTTCTGCCCAAAAATGTCCTTACAGCACAATTGTTTATAAAAAATGTATAAACAATTAAGAAAAATTATTTCAAAATATCAGATTAACAAAAAGAAAGTTTAATTGCAATAATCTAAAGGAAATTTAATTTAAAAAATTTTGTTTAGACATAACTTCCCAAAAACTGTAATTGTTTATATAATTTGTTTATAACAATGATAACATTAATTGAAAAATGACTTTTTTACAAAGAAAATCTCTAGGCAGCTTAGATGAAACATTTTTCGTAAAAAATTCGATTCATTTCTGCCCAAAAATGTCCTTACAGTACAATTGTTTATAAAAATTGTATAAACAATTAAGAAAAATTATTTCAAAATATCAGATTAACAAAAAGAAAGTTTAATTGCAATAATCTAAAGGAAATTTAATTTAAAAAATTTTGTTTAGACATAACTTCCCAAAAACTGTAATTGTTTATATAATTTGTTTATAACAATGATAACATTAATTGAAAAATGACTTTTTTACAAAGAAAATCTCTAGGCGCCTTAGATGAAACATTATTCGTAAAAAATTCGATTCATTTCTGCCCAAAAATGTCCTTACAGTACAATTGTTTATAAAAATTGTATAAACAGTTAAGAAAAATTATTTCAAAATATCAGATTAACAAAAAGAAAGTTTAATTACAATAATCTAAAGCAAATATCTTTTTAAAAAAATTTATTTTAAAACATAACTTCCTATAAAGTGTAATTGTTTATAAAAATTGTTTATAACAATTTTTAAATGCAAAAACTTTTTTTTTACTACTTACACACCGATAGACATTAAATGTATACAGTTTTAAGTATGCAAGAATTTTTTTGAGCAAAAGAAATCGAAAAATGTAAAAAAAAATTTTTTTTTACACTTTGCATAAACATTAAAAATTTATAAAACAAAAATTAAAAAATTGTCTCTCACAGATCTCTTCAGAATTTAGTTCTGCGTTAGAGAAATTTTTTTTTTAAATTTGGTCTAAAAGTCAATTTGAATCAAATTTTGTCATTTTGCCCCACTGTGGCGCCGGTTGCCACGCGGCTCAGTGCAACCGTGACGCAGCGCGCCGCAATTTATTCTTTGAAATTTAATAACTCAAAAAACAAAAAAAAGGGCATTCTGAAAATTTACATGCCAATAGGAAAAAACCTCAGCTTTCGTTTGCAATAATTTATTTTCAAATATAACGGACCGATTTTTGGGAAATCAAAAATTAAATATTAATTATCAAAAATTAGGGTAAATTTTTAAAATATCAAAAAATAAAATACACTATTGGAAAGAGGACGAAAAAACCTTTCAGAAACATATTCTAATAATTCTATTATCCATTAAAAAAAGATAAAAAACATTTTTTGACATGAATTATTTTCACTTCTGCTGTACATACGGAAACTTTTGGAATCACTGAACACTAATCCAATAAATTTTGAAAATCCAAAATGGTGTATCTAATATGGCGGACGAATTGTCTTAAAATGTATCAAATTCACTTGAAATTTGTTACTTGGGGGGTTTTTAAGGTAACTAAGCAACTAAAGTTTATAGCTAAAGCAGAAGAATATAATTTTTTTCTTTTTTTGTACTGCTCCTTTACTGTGCATTCATAAAAATTCACTATCACATTTTTTTAGAATGAGAATCCATAATTATCTGATTTTTCGGAATCATTTGGATTTTAGGAATTACACTGGAAACTCCGAAGAGCGAAATAGATATGGGCGCGGTAACAAATTTCAAGTGAATCTGATACATTTTTAAAAGAATAATATCCAATACGACGGACAATTATTGTCCGTCGTATTGGATCACCAGATTCCTATAATCAGCATCCTGAAAACTATGAGAACTGTTGAAATTTTTTTCTTTTAACCGGACAGTTTTGCATGGTTGAGGTAATGAAAAATTGTTTATTTCTTTCAGGGCATTTTGAAGGAGATGAAAAATTTGGAAGAATTGGATGTGGAAATGAAGGATTCTGTAATTGGAAACGAGCAATTATCCATTAAGAGTCATCCCCGACTTGAAAAATTGTCATTAAGAGGGGAAAGATTGCGTAGCATACTTTCAAGTGCCTTGGTGGGAATTCGAGTCCCAAATTTTTCACTGGGCTTGAAAAATACATCCATCTATGCTATTCCACCGACACTCTTCTTCCCCGTGCCTAAATCTACCAAAATTGAGTTGGACGTGTCCGGCAGCAAATTGCAGACGATTCCACCTCAACTGATAACTGCTCTGGATGAGCGAACCGGCTCCATCGATCTGAAAGGGCTGGATTCAATTAATTGCGACTGTGAAATTAAGCATCTTTGGCGATGGCTCAAATCAATGGGTTCTGCACCAAAACCAATCTCAAAATCCATAAAATGCAAGAGTCCCGACTACGTTGCCGGGAAAATACTTAATGACTTGACGGAGGAGCATCTATCTTGCGATCAGGTTGTATCGAAGAAAATGGAGACCACAGAAACGACAACTTCAGTCAGGTCGACAACTTTTGAACCGGAAATTATTTGGACAGTTGCCCCCACACTTCAGGAGAATCGAAATAAACATTATAATGGCGATTCTGACATGAATCCGAACATTATAAATTCGGCGGGAACGGACGACACGTTGATTATTAGCATTGTCGGTGGCGTTGTTGCCTTCATTGCAATTGTCATAATAATCATTTGCATCTGCCGACTGCGATGGAGCAGTCAGATGAATGACGCGCACATGGCCGCCGCAATGGCCTCGAGTATTCACGAAGCCTCCATGATTCGACCAGGAAGCGTCGCCTACTCTGGCAAGATGGGCAATCAAGAGCTCTACGTCGGTTCCTACAATGGATCGACTTTGGGTCATGGGAATGGAACTCACGCAGGCTTGTCAGTTCCAACGACTCCAGTGCCAATGCTGCCTTTCGTTCAACCCATGCAAATGGTCCAAAGTCCCGTGCCACCTCAACCAATTTACGGGTACTACGACAATCAGCCTCTGCCTATGTATGTCACTTGCCCTTCGGAAAACAAGTTCGACAGATAATTGGTAAATATCAATTCTTTTTGCCATTCACTTTCTTTACAATATTATTCACCTATTCGAACAATCTTCCAATAAAGAAAGAGGCGAAAAGGCATCCGTTTTCAAATCAAAATACGAAAAATTCTCAATTGTTTGTTTCTCAAGTTCAAGATATTATTTATTTATTTGCATAATGTTCATAATAGAATCGTGAATTTTAAACTCTAGAAATCATTTTCCAGATCATTTTCACTATCAATTTTGTATTTGAAAATGAGTTTTTTTCAAGTTGAGCTTTTTTCGAAATTCACGATTCAATTATTATTTAATAATGATTTAATGTTTACATTTTTAAAAATTTCAATATAATTCTTCGCAAGAATTCAATTATTTTCATAAATAATACTCAACATTCTTCGGAAGAATTTAATTATTTTAATAAATAGTAAAATTTTTTGCAAAAATACCATTATTTTCATGAAATTTTACGAAATAATTCAATTATTTTCTAACACCTTAATAAATCCTTCGAAACACTTCAATTATTTTCTAAAATTTTAATAAATGCTTCGAAACAATTGAATTTTTTAAAAATTTTTAATAAAATTTTTCTGAAGAATCCAATTATTTATAATTTTAAAAGATCCTTCTAAACAATTAAAATCTGTTTTTTAAATAGTAAAATCTTTGTAAAAATTCAATTAATTTTAATAAAGTTTCACGAAAGAATTCAATAAATTTTTTTCTTAATTCGTTATAAATTTTTCCAAAAGAATTCAATTATTTTCTAAAATTTTAATAAATCCTTCAAAATTATTTGGATAAATATGTAGTTATATTCATCAATACAATTTTAATAACCTTCAATAATCAAATATTTAATTAAAATTATTAACAGACACGATTGGGGGCCGTTCAAAAAATACGTAACACTATTTTTCTGAAATTTTGACCCCCCCCCCCATGTAACGCAATATTGTATACATTAACGCCATTTTTTCTGCTGACCGTAACAAATAGCTTGACCACCCCTCCTCCAAAAAGCGTTACGTATTTTTTGAACGGCCCCTTATTTTAAAAAATTGAAAAAAATTTTCTGTTTTATTCAATTTTTTTAAAAATTTCCAATTAAAATTATTAAAAAAATACTACATTATTTTCAGAGAAATTCTTCAAAAGAATTTAATAATTTACAAAAAATCTAATAAAATTGTTAAAAAGAGTTTAATTTTCTATCAATAATTTTATTAAAATTTTAATAGTAAAATTATAAATTACAATTATTAACAAAATCAATTATATTCAATAAATTTAAGAAATTTTTTGAAAGAATTTAATTATTTTTAAAACTATTCTTATCTATTCTTCTGAAGAATTTTATTATTTTCTATATTTTAATAAAATTCCTTAAATGAATTAAATTGAGGGCGTGGATCGGATAACTGCCTGTAGCGCATGGCCGAAAGGGACTATACCAGTCAGACAGCAGTGAGCGCCTCAATTATCCACGCCCTCAATTATTTTAGAAAATTGTAAATAATTCTGAGAAGAATTCAAATTATGTTTTCTAAAAATTTAAATAAAATTCAATATATTAAATGTTTACTTTCAGTTATTAAGCAACACGATTATTTTAAGAACTTGAAAATAATTCTTCATAAAATTCAATTAAGTACTTTCAAAATTTTCTATTAAATTTTTTAAAAAATCTCCATTTTTAAAAATTTCAAAGAAATTCTTCAAAAGAATTTAATTAGGATTTTCAAATATTTTAATAACATTTTTCCCGAGAATTCCATTATTTTCATAAATAATAAAATTCTTGGAAGTAATTCAATTATTTTCAAATTTTTTGATAATATTCTTTGCAAGAATTTAATCATTTTCAATACCTATATGGGGGAGAGGTACGCACGTTGAGACAGGTTCTGTTGTTCAGTAATATTTTTAAACAAACAAAATTTAGCGAAAAATTTGATATTCTTTCTTAAAAGTATTGTCCAGGGCTATAACATTGCCAAAGAAAGTAATTTTTTTTGGACAAAAATGAAAAATTTATAGCTGGTTTTCTAAACATGTTATTATTGACCAAAACAAAATGGTACGCACGTTGAGACACCCATAGTAATTTATTTTAAATTGAAACAAAATGAATAATTACGTCAGATTCTAATTGTTTGTTGTTTATTTACTTATTTTGATGGTCTTAGCCCAAAGAAAAAAATTAAAACATTAAAAATTAACTTAAAGAAGAGAATCAAAAATAAAATTTTATTTTGCACAAAAATAATTAATAGAAATCTTTATCTTCGCAATTTTTACAAGTGAAGAAAATGTAAGACACTTGAAAATTGTGGATTCAAAATCAATTTTAATGACAATACTATTTTCACACCGTGAGCGTCTCAACCAGAGTACCACAGTGTGTCTCAGTGTGCAGACCACGCAGTTATTTTCTTAAAGCTTTAAAATTATTTGTAGATGTTAACGTACTCTCTAAATTTGAAGTAGTAAAAATGTTTACTAATTCGAATTAGTGACTGACTTTTTGCTTTTGAATTAGTAAATTTTACTAAAAAATTAGTAGAAATAACTATTTATTAAAATTTATTTATAAAATTTACTAATTCAAAAGCAAAAAGTCAGTCACTAATTCCAATTAGTAAACATTTTTACTAATTCAAATTTAGAGAGTATGTCTAAATTTCTATCGGAACATTAAAGTAGAACCAAAATTGCGATATGTAAATGTTATCCGAACTGTTTTCTGCCACTAAAAAATGCACTAAATACACTAAACAGAAATCCTGTAAAACACTTTTTTAACTAAAAAATTGGTTCGCTCTAGTTCTACCGAAAAAAACAGGAGTTATCACGCTTCTATTGAATAAAAAGTTTGGTATTAATGATACGACAAAATGCCAATAAACTTTTTGGTATTATCAGTTACACAGGTTATAATATCTTAGTGTCTCAACGTGCGAACCTCTCCCCTACTTTAATTTTAAAATTGAAAATATTTAAAAAGAAAAATTATTAAAAAATTTAGGAAACGAAAAAACAAACAACAACTTACTTTAAATTGCGAACAGATTACCGGATTACAGTGATTATTAATATAGAAGATTGAAAAACTTTTGAATAATCGAAATTTCGTAATATTTTTATTAATTGAAAACAATTGAATGTTAGACGAATTTTAAGTGGACTTTTTTTAAATTAATTAAACTCTCGAAGAACTTTCTCAGCTTTCTCAGTAACTTTTGGAGAAGTTACAGTAGTATTTTTTAAAAACATTTTAATTTTAAAAGCAGGTTTCAAGTTAACATTTTTTGAGAATTTCAATTGATAATATTTAAAAATATTATTTTAATACTTATTTTAAAATTATATTAAACTTTTGAATAAAATTATAGTTAAAAGTTGTAGAAAATAATTAAATTTTAGAAGAAAGTTGCAATTTTTATAAATAATGAAAATTCTATTATGGAAATAAAGTTTATATTTTAATACAATTTTTAATAAGTAGTAATCGTCTTTTTGAAGAGTTGAAGTTTACAAAAACTTAAAATTGAAGTTATTTCTGGAATAAGGAAAAAAGTAGAGCTGTGCAAAATAATTCGAACCGAACTGTTCGAATTTTTTCGCTTAGTTCGAATGTCAAATATTCGACATTCGAGTTACTACAAAATTCGAACCGAACCGAGTTTTTTTCGGTTTTGAAACACTAAAATGTCGAATTCTAAAATTCGACATTTCGGCGCTCCAAAACCGAACAAAACTCGGTTCGAATCGAATTTTGCACAGCTCTAGAAAAAAGAAAATATTTTTTTTTTAAATCAGGTAAAAGTCTGGGGAATAGAAAATTAAATTTTCTTGATAACTTTGAATAAAATATACGGCTTTTTCAACTTATTTTTACTTTGAATTGAAAAAAATGACATATTAACTTTAAACACTTTAAAGTCGTTCAGAGACTTGTAAGAAAAAATACTCTTTTTAGTTTAATTACATTTAGTATTATTTTGAATTTATCATTTCTTTTTTTAATTACATTTAATTTTGAAATATTTAAGAACAAGAAAAGTAGGATTAATTATTATACAAATTGGAATTTAAAACAATATTTGCAAAATATATTTATTTTCCCATGTGACAATTTTTATACTTCATTCATCTATACATTGCATATTTTTATGCTTATTACTTTTCTCGATACTTTATAGAATTCATCTCTATGAAAAATGTAATTATACTCATTGTAATTAGAAGAATTTTTTATCAAACAGTTATAATTTTCAAATATGTACAAGTTTGACTTATTTTGTATGGTAGCGAAAAATTGAATTTACTATTTAATTTATTTAATTCATTAAATTTAATTATTAGGGGAGACTGGGGCGAAAAGTTAAATTTTGCATAAATGATTTTTTTTAGACAATATAATCCACTTAGATGCAAATATTTATACATTAATATTGTAGGGCAACTTGTCCCCTACAACTTTCAATAAAAAAGTTTCTGATATTTTCGCATACAATAAATGTTTTGTCCTTTTTTGAAAATTTTGTTTTTTTTAACTTTTCGCCCCATGCTGGGGCAAAAAGTTAAATTCTATTTTTAGCCTATTAAAACTATTTTCTGATAGGTGTTAAGTAGTAGATAAGTTAAAGTATACGTAAACAAGTAATTTAGTTAATAAAAGATCTTTGTTTACTTAACAACAGCTTTAGAATAGTTATAAAGTTAATAAATTGAAATTTCAAAAAAAAAAAAATTTTTTTTTGTTTTGTTTCACGTGAGCGGTCTTGTTTTTTGATAAAGTACTTTCCTAATGTCAAATAAATCATTTTTAAACAAATAAACCCAAAAAAACGAAAAATAAAAAAAAATTTTTAATAACATGTAAAAATACATTTAACTTTTCGCCCCAGGGTGCGTTTTTGGCTTTAACAACAAATATAAAAAATCTAACTAAAGATATTTAGCAAATACCTTTAGGTATCTCTTCAGGGGACCCAAATAATGAATTAAAAAAATCGCGGTGAGAATAAATGCAAAAAATATACTTAAAAGTTGATATTTTCTTTTACGAAAAAATTTTCAAAAGTAGGGTGAAAAAAAAATTTAAATATGGACACCACAAAAATTAGCAGAATGTCACATAACTTCGGACATTTATTTAGGGTGATAACACCCTTCTATAATTAAAATTGCAATGCTCTAACTATTTCCGTTCGAAAGATAATGAATTTTTTAACTGTTTTCACAATTTAACTTTTCGCCCCAGTCTCCCCTATATGTAAT